TTCACTCTCGAACGAGCCACGCCATTATTATGCAACCTAAGTCGCGGCCATTATTTCAGCCTCGCTTATGAACGCCATCTCCTCCAAGGTTAATCGAGTCGATCGCCTCGATCCTCGTTTACACTCTGATAAAAGAGTAAATCGGATCTGGTTTACTGGGGCTCGTTCCAGTATTTCGATGCGGGCCACGTGTTTCCTTCCTTCCCTCTACGTTTGGCTATCGTTTGATCGGTCGACGAAACACAATTCTTGCGTTGAAGGAATCGTGGTTTTGCTAGAGAAGAGGGAACAATGTTTCTTTATGGTTGTTGGATGAATCGATTGAATCGGAAGTTTTGTAAAGTTTTGAATTTCGGTGAGAGAAAAGGAATCTTTGACGGGTCGATAGAAATTGATTTAAGAAATTAGTTGAAAGAGACGATTGTTGCAGACAAAAATTGCGTTCTTAGAGTCATTTATTATAGAAATTGTTAAGGGAATCGTGGTTTTGGAAGAGATGGAAGAATGTTTCTTTAGTTGTTGGATGAATCGATTGAACGAAAGTTTTGTAAAGTTTTGAATTTCAAGAAGAAAGGAATCTTTAACGGCTCTGATTTTTCTTTGATAGACTGATTTAAAAAATTAGTTGGTTTTGGGATGAAGGAACATTGAATTGAATGTTGTAAAATGGGCGATTGTTGCAGAGAAAAATTGCGTTCTTAGAGTAATTAATTATAGAAATTGTTAAGAGAATCGTGATTTTGGAAGAGATGGAAGAATGATGAATGTTCCTTTTCAGTTATTGAATGGATCGATTGAACGAAAATTTTGTAAAGTTTTGAATTTCGACGAGAAGAAAGAAATCTTTAAAACGGCTCTGATTTTTCTCTGATAGACTGATTTAAGAAATTAGTTTTGGAATGAAGGATATTGAATTAAAATAGAAGAATGTTATTAAAAATAAATGATTGATACAAAAATTGCGTAAAATAATTAATTATAGAAATTATTAAATTGTTAAGTTGAATCGTGATTTTGGAAAAAATGGAAGAATGATGAATATTCAGTTATTGAATGGATCGATTGAACGAAAGTTTCGCAAAGTTTTGAATTTCAACGAGAGAAAAGGAATTTTTATCGAAAGACTGATTTAAAAATTAATACTTAGTTTATAGAATAAAGGAATATTGAATTGAATGTTGTTAAAATGGACGATTCTTGCAGACAAAAATTGTGTTCTTAGAATAATTAATTATAGAAATTGTTAAGGGAATCGTGGGTTTAGAAGAGAAGATGGAAGAATGATTCTTTTCAATTGTTGGATGATTGAACGAAATTTTCGTAAAGTTTTGAATTTCAACAAGAAAAAAAATCTTTATCGATAGATTGATTTAAGAAATTAATTAAAAAGGGCAATTGTTGCAGATAAAAATTAAAATAATTAAAATAATTAATTATAAAAATTATCAAGGGAATCATAAAATCATTTTGGAAGAGAAAGTGGAAAAATGTTTCTTTACAGTTTTTGAATGGATCGATTGAACGAAAGTTTGTAAAGTTTTAAATTTCGACATGAGGAAAGCAATCTTTGACAGATTTTTCTCTGACTGATTTAAAAAATTAGTAGTTACCTTTTGGGACGAAGGAATATTCAATTGAATATTGTTAAAATGGACGATTGTTATAGACAAAAATTGCATCCTTAGAATAATTAATTATAAAAACTGTTAAGGGAATCGTGCATTTAATAGAAGAACGTTTCTTTTCAATCGTTGAATAATTAAACAAAAATTTCGCAAAGTTTTGAATTTCTATGAAAGAAAAGGAATCCTTATCTTATAGACTGATTTAAGAAATTAATTAAAAAAGACGATTTTTGTCACAAAGAAAAATTGCGTTCTTGAAATTAATTAATTACCGAAACTTCAACAAAGATCGCGCGAGAGGAAGAAAAGAAGAAAAGAAGAAAAAAAGAAACCGGACCAGGGATAATGTGCATAACGTGCAAGCTTCCCTGGCCGGCGTACATCAGGCGGACGTGTGTCGGTTTGGGCGCGGATAATGAGCGTGTCGTCGTGGTGAGCACCTGTGCAAGCCGTGGAATATTTTCGTCGACGTGATCCGCGTAAAACGACCGCAAATACGGGTATTTCGGTGGCTTGACTCATCGCCTCCGTAACGCTATTTTAAAACCGTCGCCGCCGCCGCCGCCGCCGCCACCGCCCCATGTATCGAATCCTACTGTTTACCTTAGCCTCGTGATAATTTCACGAGCGAAATTTAAACGGTCCCGACCGTGCCAAAATTCATTAAACATTGTCGACACGGACACGGATCGCCGCCTTCGATTTTCCACTTTCAGAGGAGGAAATCTTCCGCGCTTCTCGAGGCCCCTCCCCCCTTTGAGGCGGGACAATTCAAATCGAATCAATTAACAATTAATTGACATTTATTTCCCTCTTTCCAAAAATCGACAGTGATTTATCTTGGTGTTCCAATGAGATTGTAATTAAGGAATTGATTTATGTATAAAACGTCAGAGGGACACGTTAAAGAAATTTGAGGTAAGTTGCAGCATTTATTGTTCACTCGTGTGATAGAATATTCAAGAATAAAAAAAATTTAACAAACTCGTGAAAAGTACAAATTCGATAGATCATTGCAGTAAAAGAAAGAATTAATATATTGATTCGTTTAAATTTGTAAATAGTATACAAGCAAAGAATCGTGATTTTTAGCGTGAATATTATTCGATATTCGATCGAAATGGAAATCGAATATTCACGATCTATTTTTCAAACTTCGAGTCCTCGCACAAAACACTCCTTAACTCGGTTAATCTCGAAATTTTGGCCGAAATAAATTGACGGATTCATCGTGCAATTTCATCTGTGGTGATAGATTCTGATGGAAGGTTGAAGAGCAAGTTATGTGACTCACTGATTAGAGAGTATTATCGGAGATTCGTTGGACCACGTTCGAGAGCTGTCGCTTCTTCCACGAAAGATTAAAGGTCGCTGGCTTCTTCGTCATCTTCGCCCACCCCCACCCTCGCGGGGTATCGTTGACCCACGCGCCAGATCTATCCTAGTTTGCCTGGCGATATCGCGTACAAGAGAGGTTTCTAGTCGCTTTTCCAGAAGAGGAGTAGTCAAAAGAGCGTATATATAATTTCATTAACCTCGCTTCGATTCTCGAGTTAGTTTAGAATCTTGAAAGTAATTAAGAGGATCTTACTTGGAGAAGTTATTTTTATACAATCGTATAGTTGGGGATTAACAAATTGTCGGATTTCAAATTCTGATTAATATTAGGAATATGATATAGCACTTGGTATTTTGATTTGATTGAAATAAAAGGATTGTTAAGGTGGGATTCCAAATTGTGAATGGTATTTCAAACCAAAAATGGTGTAAAAATATCGTAAGCATTAACTCTGACTATGAATTCGTCTAATAGTGTATCGACTTTCTTAAGAAACTTTGCATTCACATCGATTGAATAATCTTGATTGTAGGATTCTTACAATATGATAATTGAGACGTTCTATCTATTCTATAAAAAATATTGCAGATTAAAGGTCGCATATTTAATATTTTGGAATATTAAAAATTCCAAAGAACAAAGTACTTTAATCGATTAACCAAGAATCTCTTAAATTTAAAAATAAGAAATTTAAATTAAAAAACTTTGCATTCACATTGGTTGAATAGCTTTGATTGAGTTGCAGATATTTTGGAATATTAAAGATTCCAAAGAACAAAGTATCTTTAATCGATTAACCAAGAATCTCTTAAATTTAAAAATAAGAAATTTAAATTAAGAAACTTTGCATTCACATTGATTGAATAGCAGATATTTTGGGATATTAAAGATTCCAGAGAACAAACGATTCAAATTACTTCGTTTAATCAACTGATCAACAATACGTCTCTTAAATTTAAAAATAAGAAACTTCAATTAAGAAACTTTGTATTCGCATTGATCGAATAGCCTTGGTTGAGTTGCAAGAATCTTACAATAAGATAATCAAGACGTTCTATTCAAAAAAGAAAACTTTGTATTCACATTGATTGAATAGCCTTGGTTGAGTTGCAGATATTTTGGAATATTAAAGATTCCAAAGAACAAACGACTCAAAGTACTTTAATCAACTAACCATCAATGCTTCTTTTAAATTTAAAAATAAGAAAATTTCCATTCACGTTGATTGATAGCTCTGCATGAATCTTACAATATGATAATCGAGACGTTCCATCAAAGAAAAAAAATATTACAAACAATTTCTTTATCCTTCAACTTAAAAAATAAGAAAATTTTTCCATTCACATTGACTGATAGCCTCATTGCTTGAGTTGCAGGAATCTTACAATATGATCTTTGGAATATTAAAGAAACAAACGACTCAAACAATTTCTCTATCCTTCAATCAACTGATCCATAACACTTAAACTTAAAAATAAGAAAATTTTTCCATTCACATAGACTGATAGCCTCTCATTGCTTGAGTTGCAGGAATCTTACAATAATCGAGACGTTCCATCAAAGAAAAAAAAAAAGGTGTTTGTAATATTAAAGAAACAAACGACTCAAACAATTTCTCTATCCTTCAATCAACTGATCCATAACACTTAAACTTAAAAATAAGAAAATTTTTCCATTCACATAGACTGATAGCCTCTCATTGGTTGAGTTGCAGAAATCTTACAATAATCGAGACGTTCCATCAAAGAAAAAAAAATATTACAAATATCTTGAATATCAAAGATTCCAAAAAAACAATTTCTCTATCCTTCAATCAACTAATCCATAACGCGTCTCTTAAACTTAAAAAATAACAAACTTTCACACGAATCGAATAACCTTGGTTCCAAGTATCGATGCAATTAATTAATTCTATCAAAAAAAACAAAGAAACAAATCAATCAAACACCTTGAATACCAAAGATTCCAAAGAAACAACCGACTCAAACAATTTCTCAAACTACCTTCAATCAAACCAACCTTCGCTCAAATTTCCCCAAATTTCCCCTCCTATATACATATCCCCTCTCTCTCAAGCGATCCTCAAGCAGACTGTCAGACCACCAATCATTCGTTCATTCTTCTGTTCGGCCAGCGTCCGGCTCGCGTCTCGACGCAGCGACGACGGGCGAGGCGAGGAGGGCGTCGACCACGGGGCGGCAACGCGGC